TTTCGAATTTTTCTTTTCTTTTCCAGAACTCGGGAAAAAAATTCAAACGTTTTCCTTGGATCCCAGTCAGGCACTAAACCCTACAGAGTATAGATGATCGTGGAGTCTCCATCCAGGGCTCTTTCTTCTCTTTGATTTTTTTTCTGTCTTATCAATGTGTGATGTCAGGTGACTGCGCTTATCGTCATGCTTTCAGACTCATGGAGTACGGTTGAAAGGAAATCATGTCAAAGAATGTTATTTTCATCTCACTTGCCTAAGACCATATTTACATAGCCTCTCCCATGTTATGCCGACAAAGAAGACAACCGTCAATTTCAGGAATGCAACGGTTGGGCCCCTGCGTACATGACACAACAACCGTCCATGAACTAGGGCCTCAAAGAACAGGGGGAAGAAAGAGAACAAGAAAAGAAACAACATAGAGGGAAATGGAAATAGAAGCAATTCGAATCGTAACATCAGTGAAATCAGCCATCCGTCAAAAAATGAAAAGAAAAAAAAAAGAAAAAAAACGCCTCAGCTATGCAACCCGCCATTCATTCACATCATGCGTGGTCGGCGGTCTATGTGCATCGTTCATCATCCTTTCCCATGAATCATCCATAGTGTCTTAACTCAGATCAAACCCCGCGCCCGAGTTGACCGCGTAGAGGAGTTTCTCCCGTAAAGTGTCGGCGTTCGTGTAGCGCGGCAGCTTCAGCAGGTTCACGCACGTGCTTGTGCTTGGTAGCCGGTCCTGGTCCATGCTCGAGTCGCGGATGCTGAAAAGCGGGTTGAGATGGCTGAATCCGAGCAAGGGCGCGCGCGGGGTCGACGTCACAAACCGCAGGACGTTCCGTCGCTCCTCGTTGCTCATCTTCTCCATCACTTCCCAGAAGAGCTGGACCGTCGGGTGCTCCTGTCCGTCGTCCCCGATTGTGTAGACCCCCCCGTAGAGCGTGTTCCGTCGCAGATCTGAGACGTCGATGTCGCCGGATTCTCCGCTGACGAGAGTCTGGAGCTCTGCCTGGTTGAACATGGACAGCCATGACGGTTGGATGATCTGGCCTAGCCCTTGCAGGAAGGCGTGCGTTTGCAGTGCAGGCTGCACCTGGAGACGGTAGCGCGCAATGTACGAAATGTACACGAGTCGGTTCTGGTTCGTCACTGCGATGTCGGAGCCGTGAGGTTTCAGGTCGCGCGTGGTGGTGCGACTGGTCGAGTCCGGCAGGGGGATCGTATCGGTCACGGTGAAATTCAGGGCAAAGTCCTCCACATCGCCGGTGTAGTTCTTGAGTTGTAGCTGTAGTTGATCTTAGTTAGTCGTTACTGAACACAAAGACGGCGGTGTGCTTGACTTACCAGACCCTGGTAAAGTGCCTGGTCAAGGTCCTTCAGATCGTTCAGGTTCGCACGATACGCCGTCTCCCGCTGGGCCGAGCCCATGCCACCCGTGAGAGCCCATTTGAGCAGGAAGAACGGAGCAAAGTTGACGTCCACCAGGATCCCCTCGTATAGACACTTCCCGATGATCCGTCCCAAGAATTCATACCGCCGGAGCAAATCGCGGACGTGGTCGTTCCACTCGGGGCTGTTCTCAGGGATCCGCAACTGCCGCAGGGCTTCGCGGCGCTGTTCGACGGCCGCGGGGTTGGGATAGAGCAGGTGCTGGTCGTTCTCTTCGAACAAGTTAAGCTCGCTGGTCGACTTGAACGCCTCGCTGGTAACACTTGTGAGAAACTCCTTCGTCACACCCCCACCGTCGATCCCAGCCTCGGGCGTGTCGAACTTGTCAATAAAGGTGATTTGAATCGGCTCCTTGAGCCCCTCGCCCAGCTCGTAAAACTGCTCAAACGCATCTTCAAACACCTTCTCACGCTGGATATCGGCGTGGTGTCGATTGAGGATATTCACCGGGGGCGGGTGTCCGTCGATCGTTCGCCCCATGGAAGCCTGGGCCACCGACATGCGCCAGAGGTCCGGGTCGATGACCCCTCGTCGTCGACGCAGCTGGTCCCGGATGATAAATTCGCGAAAGATCTGCACGCGAGTATGGAAGGGGATAAAGAACGGCATGTTCCTCAGGATCTCCAGGCGGGGCGCGACGGCCTGAAGCTGCTTCCGGCGAGCCGCTTGTTGCTGCCGTCGCCGGAGGGCCTCAATTCGGCGGGTCTGCTGGGCACGACCGGTTCCCACCAGTCCCAGTGAAGAATCATAGAAAGAATCGTCCATCAGGTCGTCCGGGTCTTCCTCCTCGTCCTCATCCTGGAGCTGGTGCCGGTTCTCTTCCTCCGCCACAACGGCAGGAATGAAGCCTTCCATGTCGAAGCGGTTCGTCATCAGCCAGTGGCCATCAGGCATAAACTTGCGTCTCGAATCGCGCTCATGTACCATCCTCAGGAGGCCCGTCACTAGACCCTTGAAGTAGTCGAGGGGGATCCCTGTCACTCCAGGGAGTCCTTTCTCCTTGTTCTTCAGCTCAAGATCCTTCACACTGGTAATCGAATCCGACGGTGCGGCGAAGGAGCCGAAATAGCTGCGAATGTTGCTTGCGGTGCCCTGAATGGGCTCCTTTTCGTTCAGGTCCGCCGAGTTCCAGTACAGGGTAAAGGCCAGATTCTTCAAGAACACCGTCAGGTCCTTGATATCTTTCAGAGGCAACGCACTTTCTTTGGTCCACGAGACACGGGTGTTCGACGAGGCCGTGAAGGAAGATTCATTTGAGAAAAACTCCTCGTCGTCCATTACTTTCAGAACGAAGGTGTAAAGTTCCAGGAACAACAGAATGATCATCCATTCCTCATCCCTCTCGGTTTGGGACATGGTCGACCACCGTGCGTCTTTCGTCTCGTCCATGGGTTTCAACAATGCCAAGACCTTGTTGGAGTCCTGGCTAATGGTTGCGAATATTCTACCCGATCGAGACGCATTCCAGAAATATTTGATCGCCGGTATCCTGGGGCCAGGCTGACCGACCGCCGCATAGCCGGAGGTGGCGGATCCTAGGTATAACCACATCCGTATATCATCGCCCCGTCGAGGGAACACACGCAGCAGGGTCAATGCGTACGTGGCAAGGACTTTGGCCTCTCTATATGCATCAGACCCGGTATCTGCGAAATCCCCCTGGGACAGGTGAGTAGACTGAAGCTGTGAAAGGAGTCCCGTGATCCGGTTTTGGTTCACCAAGCTAAACAGCTGCTCTTTGATGAACGGATGGAGAGGTCGTGTCTCTGTTGTTGACTCGTCGACCTCCCCCGTTTCCTCCAGCTCCAGACGCCGTGATATGTACACAGCTGTGGAGTTCAGTAGTTCCGACACGACCTTGACGAACGCCGGCTCCGGTGCCTGGTTCACCGCCTGGTGCCCCAAGGCATACTGGTGGAAAAAGATGAAATAAGCCAGGAGCCAAAGACGAGCGTCAAGGTTTTCCACATTCCGACTCTGGCCACCGTTCTGGGAAACTAGAGGTTCCAAGGCGGAAGTGAGCAATTTATAATTGATATTATTTGCCAGCCCATCCAAAGTCCCCAAATGTGATGTGAGGTCCGGGACCGTCAGGTAGCTCCTAGCGAACCATTCATAGGCGGTAAGCGTCTCAGAAGTGATCGGCTTCAGTAGAGCCAAAACACTCTGGACAAGGTCGTCCCGAGAGAGATGGTACCTGCGGGAAACATCCTCCATGTTCCTAGTAAGGAGAACCATGACAGCGTAATACTCCTTTGAAAGCCGTGCCATCTGCTTCGGCATCAACCCGGTCATAAACAGCAGCAGTCTTAACAGCTCACCCACGACAAAGGGAGGGACCGTGGGCGACAAGGCCAAGTGTAAGACCCGCAGAGTGAGTGTCGCCAAACGGTTCAGAGGAGTGGTCCAGTCGCCCTCCGTCGCAATTGTAGGCACCTCGTTCAATGTTTTCTGGAAAGCGCTGGAAAAATACACCAGACGGACCATATCACCGCTGTTCCGCGGCTCCATGAAGTGGACCAACAGTCGCAGCTGCGACAGGCATTCTGCAGCCGTCCCGTACCGAGCAGGAGGCTGCAAGGATGCGTCCGAGCGACGGGCCAGATCCTCAAAGGGAGGAAGACCCTCCGCCCGTTGCTGTTCCAGGGCATCCCACTCTCTCCGCCATTTCTTGTGCGTTGTCTTCCTGCTCTGGTGGCCCCGCCAGGCCCGTTGTAATGTCCGGGTTGCCCCTAACCGGTCCCTCTCCTGTTGTCTATGTATCCGTTCTTGTTGAGCAATCGCTAAGGTGTTTTGCGGGCCTGCGCCATGGGGATTTGATCGTCCGGTTGTTCCTGGGGGGTATGCAGCAAAAGGATTCGTATTCCGGCCACCCAGATTCACCTGCCGTGGCCGGCGGGCGTTACCCGTGAACGACTGAAACATCGCTCTTGGTGGTTCGTTGCGTTCTTGTACTCCGACCTTTACAACAGGCTGACGAAAAGTCTGACAGAGTGGAGCAAGAGGGCATAAACATCCCCATGCCGTAGCGCAAGAAACGAGTGGGTGAAGGTTCGGGGGGGGTGTAGAGGTGGATGGGTGGATGGGGTTAGGTGGGCATGTATGACATATCTCCAGGGTTGCAAGATAGATAGGATGGTTTGGCAGCTGGGCTCCCACCGGTATACACACGCACCGCTTGCTATCTGACGGGTACACTAAACCAGGCTATCGGCAGCTATTGCCACGCTCTCACGACGCCACCGATTGCGTTTGTTAAGCCACTTAATTTATGATGACTTTTCTTCCAGTTGTTTCTGGAATTTGTTGATTTTATTATATTGATTGTGTTGATTGTTCTGTATTGTATGACGGGGATCAGTTATTGGGGATATCATGTAGAGTAATATCTTCACACCACGAATATATATATATTCGACACCTTTAACCGTTGTGCCCTTGTCACAAACACTTCACATCTGGACTGACTTTATTAGAGTATATGTAGATGGTCTGTCTGTCTATTACAAAGATTGTGTACTCATAAGAAACTACAGAGACCACAATCTCAATTAATCCCCATGTCGACAAAACATACTTGCCTGTTACTCTCAAATATCTAGAGCTGAAAAAAGATCATATAAGTATGCTGAAATGCAAAGACCAATAATGCGCCGCTAACCTGCAAAATACCCAAAATATCCACCATCCATCATATGGACGGTAACCACAGAGCGGGACCTCCTGTCCATGTGCTGTAGTCCAGCCCTGACCCAGACACATCTGTCTCAGCAAGATCCCCTCAATATACCAAACACCATACTGTACATATGATACAGGACCCCGAGAACGCGCACAAAGGCTAGGCAGAGAAAATGAAGATATCAAAACCACGGTGTATGCGCCCATAGTCGACAATCCACGCGTGCCTTGCACTCTCGCATCGTGATAAAGCGTCTCGTCCAAACCAATTCCTCACAAGTCTTCCTCCCCCATCAACAACCTCAACTATTGGCTAGACTTCGCGCCCTTCTCAGCCGCTCCGCTTTCTAACCGTTCCTGCTCAAGGACTTCCTGCCCGTTATCCGAAGCCCACATGTCCAAGTAGTCCTTTCCACCGAAGGCGCGCGGAACGGTCATCTTGCGCCCATTGCGCTCGAGATCCTGCGTATACCGGGTTTGTGTGGGCGCCATGAGTTTCGTAACGAAGGGAGTGAGCTAGATGCGCCATATTGTAAGTAAAGATCCATCCATTTGCGGCGCGGGGGTTGGGCTCCATTATCGGGGGGTCCGCTAGGAAAAAAGCTGCCTACCTTGAATGCATCCAGACCCTCCGGGACGGCGTAAGTCCGTACTTTCTTCCAGTCGATCACGTAGGTGCCGTTCTTCGCGAAGAAACCCATCGCTCCGGTTCGGTTTCCCTTGTAGTAACCACCGCCGACTTGCTTGGTGGTCAGGCGCAGGCGCGCCATCATCGGTTGCGAGGGCTTGAACATGTTGGTTTTCGAAAGCGTGGATTCTGTAGGTGCGTGTAATGGGTGTTGCGGAGGACAATTGGCGGTTCAATCTACCTAGGAATATCCATCTATGGTCGGACGGAAGAAGGATCTGAAAGTCGGGCGGCGGCGCTAGTGGGCTCCGCGGACCGCCAAGACTGACTTTTTTTTTTCTCTGCCGGGCAGAAAAGTAGAATCGGAAAGAGAAAAAGTCGACTGTGACAACAACCTCACCCCACATGTTCTTCAGAGCAGTTATATGCTGAAGAACTTGGGTTATTATCTTTTATTAAACCCTTGACTTATTTTTCTACCGTTATTTGCAGTGGGTAAAACAAACTGCAATCATGCCTCGCCAACAAACCCAGCAGCGCGGGCCGAAAGACAACTCGTCCAAGAAGAAGCAACAGCCCAGAAAGAGACCCAACAAGGCTCTGAACGCCCTCGCGATCGCCGAACAGCAGTTCCCTGTGAAACCCAAGATCCGGCGCAACCGGCTCGGCGAAGAGTACGGACAGCACAACCGCAAGCGACACGCGGCGGGCAGCGACGAGGAAGAATCGGACGGAGATGGCCCGGACAACAAGCGCCGCCGGTTTGGAGGCGACGGGTCAGATAGCGATGCGGGCAGCGACGGACAAGGTCGCCGGTGGAGAGTAGGGCACGTCGACAGTGATGACGATAGCGAATTGGACAGTGATGAAGCTTTGGGTGAGAGTGATGAGGAGCGGTTTGAAGGTTTTACGTTCCGGGGTAGTGGGAAGCCGAAGTCTAAGGCGAAACCGAAGCCCGCGGAGTCCAAGAAGAAGAGTCGCCCGATCAGTCTGTCCGAGGATGTCGAAGATGAGGATGAGGAGGATGAAGACGAAGACGAAGATTCAGACGATCTTGGGGAGGATGCTATCGACTTGACTACTGCCTGGGACATGAACGTTGCTGCGGAAGAAGAAGAAGCACAGGCTGGCTCGAAATCGACAAAGCGCGACGAAGACTTTGGGTCCGAGGAAGATGAAGAGGAAGAGGAGGGAGATGATGAGGATGAGGAAGACAGTGAATCCAACGAAGACAGCGACTTCGACATGTCCGACGATGAGGACGCGGTGGATGAACATGGCCTTGCCAAATTGCAGAGTTTCGTGAACTCTATGGGTACGGGTGCTACCGACAGGACCAAAAAGAAGGGAGGAAAACACGAGCATACTGCGCCGACAGAATTCGGATTGTCCTCTACACAGAAACTCACTATCGCGGACCTCATGCCCTCGATTACGGATTCGCGCCTAAAGAACTCTCTCAAACATGTCGACACCGCTCCCGCCAACAAAACAACATCCGGTATCCCGGGTAAACTCGACGCACCTCTGGCGAAACGCCAGCAGGATCGGTTGGACCGAGCGGCAGCCTACGAAAAGAGCAAAGAAACTATGGATCGCTGGCTGGAGACGGTCAAGTCCAACCGCCGAGCGGAACACCTTATGTTTCCCCTAGTCGACCCCGACGCCGAGCAGACGCACCGAATCGACGTTACGAAGCCTCAGACGGACCTTGAACACGCCATTCAAGACATTCTAGTCGAGAGTGGTCTGACGGATAATAAGGGAAAGTCGGCTGAAGAGCAGGTTCAAGAATTTGAGGAGCTGCAGGCACGAAAGCTTCCGATCGAGGAGATTCGCGCTCGCAGGGCGGAACTACGCCAGCGTCGCGATCTACTCTTCCGGGAGGAGGTCCGTGCCAAACGCATCAAGAAGATCAAGAGCAAGTCGTACCGCCGGGTGCACCGCAAGGAACGCGAGAAGTTGGAGCAGCAGGAACGACAGGCTCTCCTTGATGCAGGCGTGGACCCGGATGAAGAGGATCGTGAGAAATTTGAGCGTCAAAGAGCGGAAGCTCGCATGGGTCTGAAGCACAAGGAGAGTAAGTTCGCCAAGAGCTTGAAGCAGACTGGACGGACTGCTTGGGACGAGGAAGCGCGTTTGGGTGCCGCCGATATGGCCCTCAGGGAGGAAGAGCTGCGGAAGAGGATCGAAGGCAAGCGTGCCACCCGCGGTGACGAGGACTATCTCGGATCATCCAGCTCCGAGTCTGAGGAAGAGAACCCGTGGGACGAGGAAGCTGATTCCGATGCCGAAAAGCGCAAGCTTCGCCAGAAGCTCAGCAAGCTCGAGGGCGGTGAAGATGGGGAGCTGGAACTCAAGGGCCCCCATTCAAAGCTGCTCTCCATGAAGTTCATGCAGAATGCCGAGGCCTCTCGGAAAGCCCAGAACGACGCTGAAATTCGGAAGCTCAACCGAGAACTTCATGGGGAGGAATCGCAGTCCGAGGCAGAGTCGGAGGTTGGCCGGCGCAAGTTTGGTCACTCAGATAAAAACAAATCTGGCCAACAGCAGAAACCCAAGGCACTCCTCCACAATGAGTTTGAGGAGCCATTAGGATCGGATGACGAAGCTGATGCCGCCGAGCAAGATGCCGAAGTCGTCACTGACCGCAAGGGCAATAACGCAAAGCCGGGTCGGTCTGCTAACAAACCGCGCGGTGGCCTCTCCAAGGCTCCTGAACCTGTTGAACCTCCTACCGAAGAAGAGAACCCTTGGTTGGTGCAAACGACCAGGAATAACCGTCGACCTGTGGTGAGCGACAACCAGCAGACTGTCGACATCAACCTTGACAACGCGGCGCCCAGCGGCCAGTCGTCTCGCAAAGCCTCCAAAAAGGAGAAGGCACCTTCTGCATCCACCCAGAAGCAGCACTTGGAACCTCAGGATGACAGCGAGGAGGAGAGCGTGCCGGTGCTTCTCAAGAACCATGACCTCGTGAAACGCGCATTCGCTGGCGACGAGGTCGTCCAAGACTTCGAACTTGAGAAGCGGGACACTATCCGCGACGAAGATGACCAGGTCATCGACAATACCCTGCCCGGATGGGGTAGCTGGGCCGGCGAAGGGGTCAGCAAAAAGCAACAGAAGCGACAGAAGCGCTTCCTCACCAAGGTTGACGGTGTGAAGCCGGAGGACCGGAAGGATGCTAAACTCGCCCGCGTCATCATCAACGAGAAACGAGTCAAGAAGGTAAGGGATCCCTTAGTGGTCACACGACGAGGAACCAGCATATTAACTTTCTCCCGCTTAGAACAACAAGTACATGGCTACTCAGCTTCCTCACGAATTCGAAAGCAAGGCCCAGTACGAGAGGTCTCTCCGACTCCCCATCGGACCGGAGTGGACCACCAAGGAGACGTTCCAGAATGCGACCAAGCCTCGCGTGATGGTCAAGCAGGGCGTCATCAAGCCCATGGAGAAGCCAACAGTATAAGATACCCGACTATCGACATGGGAGGAGGATATCTTCCAGGATTGGCAGGGGGAAAAGAGTCAGCAGGATTAGTCAGATACCACTTTTTGATCATGAAATGTAATTATCCATGATGATAGAAAAAGTTCATATCAACCACCATCAAAAAAGTCTCATTTTAATTCAGATGCAAAGAACCAGATGTGTCCTTACCAGAGACCCCTGACCCTGGAGTGATGCTAGCGTGTACTTGACATTGTGGATACCCTCCGTGAATTAAAGAGAAGGGTTCGATGACCTGATCACCTGAACTCATTGACCTATCATCCCATTCCTATCACTTTAAACTATCTCTTATTCATTAGACAATTACACAGTCATCTGGATTACATCCATCAACCACCACAGAATCATCAAGATACAGTAATAATATAGTTCATGGACTATATTCAATGATCAATAACCCTAGGAATGGGCACATTTCATACTTTTGAGGATTGAGTTGGTGATCCACACAGGGATTGGAATGCACTGAATCAGAGATATCCCCACTTGACACGCAAGATGACCCCCTGAACTAGGGATAATCTGGGTCATGAAATATCAAAAAACTCTAACATGGAGCTCTCAAGATCCAATATACAAAATCCAAAGACGAAAGACCATAAATGGTCCAGCGAGAGAAGTAAAAGACTCACGTGGGGTATTTTAGCTGCCTTAAAACTGACTATCATTCAGGCTCCACAATTATCAGACTCCATCCCGTCTGGAACATACAACAACTTCAACCCTGGTCACTTTCCTGATTACTGCAACACAACTAGTTGAAGTGTTTGTGTAAGTGCTTGATAACTTTATTTCTTTCCGTCTCCCCTGTTCCTTCATCGAGTTTTCTCCAGTGCATGTGCTGTTGCATGTGGATGGACATGCGTCACTCCACTCTGTAATCATGAGGGAAGGACTCACTAGTAGCATTCCATACTCATCGCACTCCCTCCCCCCCCACATTGTTTTCGTATTTGGAGACCCTGGTGAATGCTGTTTATTATGATCCACGTTACTGTTATGGCCACTCACGCGATTCTAGGTGATTATCCATCTGGTTAGAAGTGATTCCCCGGCCGTGACTGGAATCCATTAGTCTGTTGAGATCGACTCCTGGTAAGCCATGCTGTCCTCTCCTATATAAACTGGGATCTTTTCCGTCTTGC